ATTAACTATGAACAATATTACTGTGGTGCCTAGAATCCCTCCCGGCCAGCTCTAAGGGCCAAGGTGGCCTGTGCCATCTGTTAGTCCTAACTTAATCTGCCCTGGGCCTTCTGTGCAAGTGCCAAGCTATTTCTCCTTGCACTGTCATGCTGGGTGAGAAGAAAGGGAGACTAAAAAAGCCCAGGCTGGTTTATTTTTACGTTACAAAGCAGTCACGGCCACGGGTGAACAGATAAGCAGTGGCGTGGGCAATTTTGCAATAGCCTTGGCATATGAATGCAAAGTCACCTCCTCCTTTGTCTTTAGAGATACCTGCCGGCATCCCTCCAAAGCATGACTCTAAACTGGCTTTTCCCATTTTCTTTTGTTTTTTTAATATACTGTTAATTAATGAATGAAGCAGAGGCAAAAATACACACAAACACAAAGGAATAGTTTTTTAACCTGGCTTGATTAATGCTGTCAAGTTGTACATCTGAGTGTGAGCTCAGTGGGACTGTTGCTTTTGTTTAATACCACAAGACACCTCAGTCTGGATTGTTGCATTACAGTACAAATAAAAAACAGAAACAAACCACATCTGCATCATACAAGGTGAGAAGAATATGAGAATTCTAAATATTTACAGAGAAGGGCAAGTGGGGAAACCACAAAAAATATTTACATAAAAATACATGAGCTTGTCGGCATATACATTTTACACCAGTTCACAAAAAAGACACTATATAAATTAAAGTGAAGGGAACTCCAAAGGTAACCCAAGACTTTCTGGGATGTTTCTCTCATGCGGCTCAGGGAAAGAAAAATCAAGTCTTCTACAGCAGGAAAATGAACTGCAAAACAACCCTTTTCTCCCCCCCACCCCCCACCCTCCCCGCAACTGGACGAGGCAAGACTCTGCACACAAAGGTATTACGTTGTATGTTTGTTTAAACCAGACCATGCCTTTCAACACTGGATTGCTGTAGCACGAGGCTCTGGGAAAAGAGTTGCACGCCTAAGCCGCCTTTAACAAAAGTAAGTAAAACAATTTCTCACCCAGATTTCCTAACATGTGACACATCACTTCAGTCAATGCCCTGTCAACGTACTGATGAATGGCAGAGTACACACGAGGTTCTGTCCCTTTCTGGGGTTAAAGAAGAACAGTATGTTTTCAAGTTGGTTTTGGTTTTGTGTAGCAACTTACTACTGCTGTGCAATCCTTACTGACCCCCCTTCAAATGATGAGCATAAAATGAGGATCTCTGGAAAGACATAGGCACAAAGTTGTGGGTGTTTTGTCATATATGCATATAGATTTCACCTGATAAGACTCTTAAAATAAAAAATTAATGCTTTCCTTAAGACTTAATAGGGGCTAGGTCCTCCTTACTCACCTAACACCTGCACTCCCCCTTTGCCAGGGAAGGTCCCCTATGGGTCGCACATTTCACTCCAAAGCAGAGGTGGAAATCCAGAGTTGGAGTACACTACTGGACCCTAACTCTTGCCTGCACTAGGGAGAAACTCGGCTGAAAACTTAAGAAGTGGCAATTTAAGATGCAGACAGCTTGTGGCAAGTGTAAGGGAATTGCTGAAGAACATAGCTGCTTGTCATCTTACTGGAGATAAGGTTAGGCAATAAATTACTTCATCTGAGCAGAACTGGACTTGCAATAGAGTATTATTTGCGTTGCTGTCCTCATGCTCTCTCCCATTTCTCTGCTAGGATGCCAAGAACTGAACTACCGACTTAGCTCCAGATCATCCACCTTAGACATCTGGTGTAACCCCCCCTCCTCGCTCTGATGCACAATGCCTTTTTTAATCTCGGCTATGATTTTTTGAAAGATATAGCTGGATGTTTTGACTTCATTGTGAATCGATTAATGAGGATGCAGAACTCTTAAGGACCATCAGATTAACCACACTGCAAGAGCAGAACTGCATAGTTCGCTATATGGCTTTGCGTGGGGTGGATGCGGGGGTGACTGCTGAATCGTACTAGATGTTTAAGCCATGGGCAGTAGCAACGCCAAAAGAAAGGTGCTCATTGGGGCAAAGCTGGTGCCTTAACCTTGCTTTTTTTTTTTTTTCTTTGCTGTACTTGTGGCTCAGCACTGGTGTACAGAAGTTATTTTTGGTTTGCTGAGAGCTTCCAGCCCTTGAAGTACACACTGACGTGGCTGTGTGCAGAGGGATGGGAGGACGCTGGGTATTAAGTTTTCTGCTGTGTGTCTCTTTTTAATGGAGACCTTCTCGTTCTCAAGGGGAAGGCTGTTTGTAGCAGCCACCTAGGTGTATGGGTGCGCACTTCTAGAAGCTCTTTTTGAAAGGTGCTGAAAGCTTTTGTTTCCCAGGGGATGAGAGGGTGCTTGGCACCTGGCACTTCATACAATGCAGTGAGCTGAAGAGCCCAGGCTCAGGCAGTAGTAGCACAAGACTGTAAGGAACAGAAGTTGTCCAGGGATGGCACTTGATCTCTAGAGGGAGACAGTGGCTTTGAGCAGGAAAATCCAGAGAGGCATTTACAATTAGTGGGAGCTGGATTGAGCCCCCTCATAGTAGAAGGATAGTCCTGGTTAACATAAGGCCAAAACGGAGGTTAGGAGAGTTGCTGCGGGGGGGGCAGGAGTGGGGAGGCAAGGCTTTCATGGAGAGAGAGAGAGAGAGAGGTTGGACCTACAGCTCTCATTACCTGAATCCCAAATAGCCTGAACCAAACACATTGTCCCTGCTTCAACTGGAGACCTCGGCAGGTAACTGGCAGCTGTGGGGAGACTGTGCTACAACTGTTGAGGACTGGCACTAGTCCGAACACAGTGCACGCCTCTATTGAGAGAGCGCATACTTAAACTGGGCTCCCTTGGTGAGCTTGCACCGAGGAATCTGGACAAGTCAGCCTTTCCTAGGGAGTGAGCTAGCAATGTAGACAGGGTGGCCCACAGCGTGGCTCACCTAATGGCCCCTTTCTATATATTTTTGTTAGTTTTCCTTAAAAGAAAACCATTACAAAAAGCATTCCCTCACAACCCCTCTACCTGGTAATTACTCACACGGAGATTGCAGTAACCTGGATCACAGTGCTGCTTTTTTTTTCTCTTTTTTTTTTCCTGACTGCCAGATTTATTTCCATAACATGTAAGAACAATCCTTCTAAACAAAATGCTTAAAACAAGAGCATTGCACAATGAGATAGGACCATAAGGTAGTGTTACTGAAACAGCCCCAGACAAGGCTACAAGATTAAAAGAAGCAAACAGCTAAAGACTAGTTAGCTACTAGAAGCAGGTTTTCCTTATGGTTTAAAAGCCCTAAAATAGCCATGGAACTTTTTTGTTCAAAAAAACATTTAAGTTCCCTCTAACTTTCGCAGCTGTGTGCTAACTGCAGGACCTCCAGGTTTTTAATAAAACATTAGAGATTCAAAATGGGTAGAGAAGTTCTTCAACCACACAGAACAGGAATGGCCTTGGAATTTATCAGTGAACATTTAAAAACTCCTAAATCTCAGTATTGCTTGCAAGCCCTGCCTAATGAAATGGATGTGCTTCTATAAGGTGGGGTTGTAGTGAGTCCTGGGAAGTCTGAGAGGCTGCACGCGAGATGCTGCCTGGCTGCTTTTACAATACGGAAAGCTTTTCAATACCTAGGACAACATTATTAGTGTATTATAGAGAGTGCACTGGCCTTCTGTCCCTACTGCTAACTGAATACTGGTATGAGCTACACTTGCGATGCGGGAGGCAATACTATTTCACAGCGCACAGACAGCACATAACTACTCTGTATGTGCCACGACTTCACAGGAATCCCCTTGCCAACACAAAACTTAAGGGTTACAGAAAGCCGCGTCCTGTAGACCTTCAGTTTTAGGTCAATAGGAGCATTCCCTGATCTAAGAGCTGCAGGAACTGGCCCAGGGCAAATAGCTGGTCATGCAGGTAACTCGGCACTTACACAGTCATTCCCAGCTGGGAAGTTGGGCTCCAATTTGCAAGCTGGACATAATGCTATAGATTTTTTTATTTTTATAGTAAATTTTTTTTTTGTAGAGAGATGATACTGTCTGGCCAGCCACAACATGGTATTAAATCATCTGGACTGTAGATAGCCTAGCAGTAAAGAGGAATTGGCATGAAATGGGTGTGCTGTTCCCAACTGTGTGTGTATGGTTTGGTGTACTTGAAATGCAAACCTGCCCTACTTGGCTTCCACAGCTGGCCTCTGCTTACAATAGAGAAATTTAAAGTAATTTGATTTCTTGTAGTCAGAAGCAGCTTGTTAAGCAAGCAATTTAAAAAGTGCATTGTATTTTGAACTTGCTTCAGAGCCTATTTCGCAGGCTTGAAGTCAAAACAGCCTCCCACCCACTTTAAAGCAATTGAAGTGGATCCACTATGCCTAAGCAGTAATTTTAAAGGGAGAGGCAGGACCTCGGCATTTATCAAGAAGAAAATAATTGGGAAGTCTTTCCCCCCCCCGCCCAGCTTTTAGCCCACTGTTGCTGCGTAACCTCAGAGGGGGCAGAACAGTGGTTCTTCCAAGGCCTGTCATGGAGACCCTTTCTTGGAAGCTAGCAGTGGGATGGGCAACTTACTACACATGGGGCTCACAGGGAGAACAGCTGCATGCACAGGCCATCATGCACAGGACCATGGAGGCGTGGTGAGGAAGCGGTGGTAACTGTCAATGTCAAATCCAGGGAAGGAAAAACTCTTCCTTCCCACCCCCTGCCCCAACAGCATCTCTTTCAGCTCTGCCCGGCCTCTCTGGCAACGTCTGTGTGCCAACAGCCTGCCCTATCGTTCCAGTTGTCTCAAAACTACATGAAAAAGCTATATCTCTACTACATAAAAACAGTGAGTGGTGGGCTGGTAGGGGTGGGGCTGAAAGGTGGGTTTGCTTTGCTCATCGGGGCAGGGTTGGGGTTTTTTTTTCCATCACTGAAAAAATAAAACAGTCCGCTGTCCAGCAGAGGCTGCTTAGACTCTATCCCTCCTTCCCCCCACACCAGCTCACTCAACATGGACCTCTGTTTCAGGCCTCTGCAAACACAGCTCCGTCGGGAGGAAGGCTCCCTGGCCAAGGGCCGTGGCGTAAGTTCTACTGTGCACGTGGGTAAAACTGGGGGGCACAAACCCCCCTCCTCCAACATAGCCCCCTCTTTGGTGCTGAGGCATGGTATGGTAATCCTCCAAATTATCATACTGGGACACCACAGTCATAGTGCTTTGGCGTTTCCCAAGGGTTTGGTATGGGTAGAGGAGGGCAGAGTCCCTCTCCATGGTTTCGGGGTGTTGCATTCTGAGGCTGTGGCTCCGTTCGGGCTTGGGCGGTGGCGCCATGGGAGAGGCGGCATGCTCCTCCTCTTTATAGCAGTCTCTGGAGTGTTTCTCCATGGATGCGGTCGGCCTGGCTCGGGACCTCTCCAAATCTGGCCTGTCCTCTGGTAACCTCACCTCCTTGTGGTTCAGTCTCAGGGTCTCCTGGTTCGCCGGGATGTACTTCCCGCCTGAGTGCTGGTAACTGATGGGCTCGGAGGGCTCTGGGCCACCTTTGGGCCTGTAGTCGGGATAAGGGGGCCCATTTTTGGATTCGGAAGGCTGCCTATGGCTTGCTTCCTGCTGCAAGTGCGTCCTGTGTTCGTTTGTGTTGCAGCCCGGCTCATGCAGCTTCCTGTTCCGGATGCTGCTCTGCTTCTGGGGAAGGGACGGCTTTTCCGACTGCCCGTTCCCATAGGCTCCATGGTAGTGGGCTCTGTCCAGCTCTGGCTCAGGGTGCTGCATGTAGTAACGTTCGTCCCCCTCGGGCGTAGCTGCTTTGGCCGGGTACCTCCCCTCTTTCCCTTCTGCCACGGTGAGGAGGCCAGTTTTCCCAGGATCTGATTTGCTGCGCAAGTGAATCACATCCAGTCCTCCCAGCTCCTCCTGCAGCAGCGGGGCCACGTTATCATACTGGGACATCACCGGCCCTTTCATCTTCTGGCGCGTGCGGCTCTCCCGGCGAATAGACTGCATGCGGTACTTCTCCATGTCCTCGAGGTCCCACGACATGTACATGTGCTTGATGTCCGGGGCAGGAGGCACATCTCTGCTGATGAAGCTGTGCTCTTTGCCTGCCAGGTGGCTGATGAGGCCACCCCGAGGGTAGGCAGACAAGCTGGGATAGCGGTACAGGCCTTTGCTTTGCAGCCGGGAGGCGTACGATGCAAAGTCTCGGCTGGGCAGGGGGTGGAAAGGCCTGACCCGCACAGTGCTGTAGGGGTCCAGGTCGTAAAAGCTCCCATCAGCAGTGGTGTAATAAGAGGATCCAGAAGAGCTGGAATAAGGACTGTACCGGTAATGTACCCGCCCGTTCTCAAAGTAAGGCTGCAGCTGAGTTACGTGGTAGTCGGAGTGGGGCTGATATGGCTTGTACTGATAGAGGGGCCGCGGGCAGTACACTGGCTCGTCGTCCGGAGGTACCTCGGTCCGTGAAATGGGGACGGAGCGGATGGCGGAGGCAGCAGGGGTGGGGACGTGCAGCGACTGAACCCTTCGGATAGTGGGGTAGGGTGGAGCATCCTCGGCATAGCTGGCGTTACGCAGGCCCGTTGGGCTCACGGAGGACACAAACTCTGTCCGGCTGCGAGGCTTGGAGTGGAGAGCTGAGGTGCTCTTCCCTTGGTTTGTGTAGGTGTTGTAGCGAGTGCCCGCAGAAGTGGGTGTCTCTGACCGAGGAGGGTAGGCTTGGTGCTGGTCAGGCTTGCTGTGGTAGGAGATGTGAGGAGGAACGCTCTCGGGCCTGTACTGATGGACGGAAGCTGGCTTGTGGTGCAGGTAGTTGTCTGGCCCAGAGGGCTCGGGGATGCTCTCTGGCTTGGGATGCGGCACGTACACGGACTGCAGGGAAGCGTGCTTGGGTGGGGGAGGTGGTGGTGGTGGCAGCAGGGCTTCCTCCACAGAGGAGGCCAGCATGGAGGAAGACAGGAAGGCATGATAATTGGAGTTGTTGATGGCATCCGTGTTGTTCGAGTGCATGGCAGCAGCAATTTTGCTCTCCAGCGTTCTCACAGGTGGGACAGGGGGTGTAAAGCTGTAGGAGGAGTGAGTAGGGACAGACTCGGACCGCAGGTGCAGCGGGGGAGCCCTCGTAGTCTTTTCCAAAGGCTTTTCCAAATGGCTCTGGTGGCCCGTGGGCGCGGAGGAAGAGCAGCGGATGGTAGAACTGCTTTCTGGGACAAAAACAGCAGCAGGCTCAGGTGGCTTTTCAGGTGCAATTGCGCCCCAAACCTACAGGGAAGAAACCAGTAGAAGTTAGAGGCAAGCATCTTCCCCCCCCACCCCCCAAATCTGTAGTTAAAATATCACAGACACTTGTACAGATTAGTTCAATGTGAATTTTTCTTTTTTTTTTTCCTGTGCCTGGTTTCTAGTGCTAGTGTAGCTTTCTACAGCTAGTGCTGCTCGCTGTAGAAGAGATGTGTGGGTTCCCTTTTGCAGCAAAGGCAGCGTGGTGCCTCTGACAGATTTCAGGACCTGTCACAAATGGCAGCAGAGGGGCTCGTGAGGGCTCTCTATGCAACTGTCAAACTGGAGAAAGGGGAGGAGGTGGCTGTCTCTTCAGAGCAACAGGTTAAAACTTTTACGCAGTGGCCCACAGTGTTTTGTTAGGTGGTCTGCTCATAAATGTACTTGTCTTAATGAAAATATACCTGGATTTAAACTCCTCGCGCCCTCCTGAGCAGATCAAGTAGTGTAATACAGCAGAAATCCCTTCCTTAAACGTGGCTACAGTGCTTAAGACAGGCTGCAGGTGTGCATGTTTCACGGGCAGCAGGTAGTTTGGATTTCTGAGTGAACGCTTCCATGTCTAACTTGCACCAGGAATCTGACCTGCTTTACTGAAGAGGATGTTGGAAGAGGATATTGTCAGCCTCAGTGAAGAAAGGATGCAGAAATTCTGACTTGTTTCTGAGCACTTCTAAACTAGCATTCCCTGTATCGGTCACCCCAGCGGATGCTTTTTTCCTTAAAACCAAGGAGAGCAGGTCTATCGGGATGCTCCCTTGTGTTCACTGAGGAAATTCTGCGCTGCTTTCCTGTAAGGCTGTGTGTCGTACACGCGTAATTTCCGGTAACCTGTGAGTCCCCTGCCTCTTGCCATTTGGGCTTGGACCAATTCTCCCAGAGCTCAGCCTCCGACAATTACAGATGAGCTGTGCGCGGAAGCTACGCTTGCAAATACGTGCAAGGCTGGGGGGCACATCCACGTACCTGACTGGAACTACTCGATGCTTTTGCGGAGGCTGCTGGCACTTGTCCCATTGCTGACTGGTGATCTTGCCTCTGCGGTGGGGCGGGCTGGCTGGTTGCGGGTGTGCGCTGCGCAGCTGCAGCGGTGACGTCTGCCTGAGTTGTGGCTGGACCTGCTGGCCCACGGTTAGGCTCAGTTGCTGTTGGCTGGATGGTTGCTAAATACGGCGCTGAAGCCGGGGTGCTTTTCTCCCCAGCAGTTATGGCAGGAGGAGACTGAAGTTTGTCATCAGCTGTGCAGATAGGAATGTGGTGCTTGTCCCCAGACATGCATGCACGGAGGTGGGGCTTATCTACAGACAAGTCTGTTGTGGGTGGTTCCCAGTCAGGCAGTGCACCTGGAGTATGGTGGTGTGTGTGCTCCCAGTCCCCAGCATGGGAGGGGAAGTGATCTTTGTCCCCCGGTTTACCAGGATGGAAGCTGGACTGCTCCTGCTCTGCATCTCTGCTACCAGGCATGTCCCCAGGCATGCCAGTGTGGAGAGGTGGGGGGTCCCGGCTTCCAGGTGCACCTGGTGGGTGGTTCTGCTCCCCGGGTGTGCTGCTACCTTGGAAATCCTGCTCTACTGGTGCACCAGTCTGGAAGTGAAGTCGGTTCTCAGGCAGACCGGTATACAGGTGGAGCTTGTCTGGAGCACCAGCAGAGAGATGGAGCTTTTCTAGAGCTGTGCCAGCTTCAGTCTCTCCGTAATTTGTGCTTTCAGAATGAGCATCTCCTGGCCTTTTCTGAGACTGAGCGGATGCTTGCTGTGCGGACTCGGCTAACGCTAGGGCTAGCATGCGCGCTGCATTTTTCGGAGGAGGAGGAGGGATAAGAGACACAGAACTGACGGGAACAGGATCCTGGGGGGAGTCGAGGGCAACTGCTCCTAATGGGGGGAAAATTGAGAGAGAGAGTGATTTTATGTTACCCAATAAGGAGAGTGACCTAACCTTAATGACTATCATAAAAAAATAGATGCTTTCCACACTTTCACAGTGGCAATTCCTTCTGATGTGAAACACTGTATCTTCTGTCTCACACGCAAACGCTGCTCAATAGCACAGCAGTTCATCGCAAAAAGGAAAAAACACAAGAGATTGTCTAAAGGCTCCTCTTGCATTTCTAGAGAGGTAGGAAGTAGGTAGCAGAGAATGAGATACCCTTACACAATTTTGATCATAAGGTTTTAGGCGAAAAGGTCCCTTCTTCGAGTGTTGGCAGACTTTTAATTTAAAAAAAAAAAAGTCTTAGATGGTCTATTGGCTGAAATGATTTAGAAGGACATGCTATAGATTTTCACGTATGACAGGATGGGGAGGAAAAAAAAAGTGGTATACAAAGTATTATGGAAAATTATCTGAGATTGTGTGATGTAGGGAGAAGGCAGAGGTTAAGACCTTACTGATCTGCGCAGCCCTGCAAGACACTTGTGATCAGAACTGACGGGCAATCCCCTCTCCTAAAAGGCACGCAGAGGAGGACGTTTCTGAGAGCAGGTCCCCTTTGGAACTTAAAGAAAGAATGGAGGAAAATGCACTGTACCTGGCTGTGTGTGTCCAGTGGGTACAGTCTTATTCTGACTGCTTGACATTGGTCTCTCCCCTTCTTCTGGCAACTCTGGTTTGCCAGCAGCCACTAGCTGGGCATGCTGTAGCTCTTGGTGGGCTCCTTCCCCTGCTCCTGTTTCACTGTTTTTCAGGGGCAAGGACATCTGGGTTGGGGACCTGTTTGTGATATCAGTGATGCCAATCCCTTTGCTCCAGCTGGAAGCAGAGGAGTTTCTGGATGTGACGGGCACTCCTCCAATCGCTTCTGACATGCGGCTGGGCAGTGCGAAGGAGACAGGTTCTGATGTAGTCAGCGGCGGAGATTTGATGGGCTTTCGCCCCATCTTGGGTGAGAAGGCATGGGGTTTGCAGGCCTTCTCTTCGGCTGGGCTCAGGTCCAGAGTAAAGAAGGGACTCATCTTCTCTTGGAAAGGGGAGACTGGCTCAGAGCTCGTGGCACTGCCTGGTGTCTGGGACTGGCTGCCTGATTCTAAATCCTTCTTTAGTAGGCTTGGCTTCTCCTTATTTATGCCAACTGACTCCAGCAGGGAGGTACTGCTATCCAGGCACTCGGACTCTGCTTGGGGCGGGCTGCACTGAAAAGACATTGGGTCAAAATCCAGGCTAGCGACTCCGATATCCGGTGGGCTCAGGTCCACATCCTCAGCAGATCGAGGAGAAATCAGGGCAGGAACGTGGATGAGCCCCTCGTCCCCATCACTGTCGTTGTCGTGGGGAAGGTTGTCGTAAGAATTGCAGCGATTCATGTTTCCTAAGAGCTCTCCATTGAAGGAAGCAGACAATGCGTCGCTACTGGACCTAGGTCTTCTGGGTCGAAACAGTTTAGATTCACCTAGGAACGAGTAGATACATACGGATTAGCGTCAAAACCTTACTGTCCAGGAGGAGATGGTTCGGTGTTGGTTTTAAAGTAGTCTTAAGGCGGTGTGCAAGAGGCTCACCTGGTGAACTCTAAACACAAAAGTAATGTAGTTAGCAGTAAGTGTTAATTACGTTTGCTCAAACTCTTTTACAGCAGTTGTCAGGTCCAATTTAGTCTGAAACGAAGCTGTTTGCAAAAGCAAAACTAGTTTTAAGTGTGCTGTAGACCTAAGGCGCTCTCAGAAAGCATTTTCCTTCCCGATGCCGTCTTTTCCACCTTAGAACAGAAAGGGGGAGATGGCAAAGAATGAATGTAAGGGGTGCCGGCTCTACAAAAGCGGGAGGCTTGCCTTTTTTACCTTGGAAGGAAAGACAAGACCTGAAGAGCATTTCTGTGTGACACCCATCTGTGTCGGGCAGCGGTAAGCTGCTTCATTAATTAGCAAGTCCAGCTTTTACCGGAGGGGTGGAAAATCAGCTCTGTTGAGTATCTGCAGTCAGTGATGTCAAACTGCCTTTTTTAATCCACATGCATTAAAAGTGCAGGTACAATTTTGTCTTACCATCAACAGCATGTAGAGAGGTAAGCGATTCTTCGCTTTTAGCTGAGCGAAGAGTCCCGCTGTCTCCTCGTCCACCTAAGGAAATGCAACCGAGACGGTGAGAAGCTGAATTACAAAAGTGGTTTCTATTTGGCTATGTAATGGTGGTAGAAAAAAAACAAATGGGTTTCTAGCAACAGCGCCAGTGTCCTGAGAGTAATGGTTGTGCTTTTTTTGTTTTGGGGCTGGGTTTTTTTGGTTTTGTTTTTACTCCAAAGCCCTTAAAGAAAACCTTTATCCCGATCGACTGTTAATACGCTTTGCTGTCTAAGACAGAGGTAGTCCTATTTTGCACGGGAGACTGGCCTACAGAGGTCCCTTTCAGCCAGTCTTAAAGGACATTCATATAATATGTTTATTATTCTGAAGACTATAGGGTTATAATTTGAAAATGGCACCAGGGAGGAGACGGGATAAAAGTCCTCACTGGCCCATGTTTAGGGATTTGTGGTGTGTTTTACCACAAAAACATATTGTTGCTATTTTTAAATTTGGAAAGGGCTGAAAATTCAGAGTCTACATACACTGGATGTGGCTACAAAAGGTTGTTGGATGCCTTCTCTAGTTACGCCGGTATAGCTTTTGGGGTGAATGTGTTTGTGGAAAAGTGCCTTCACCTAGTTTAATTGTGTCTTTTGAGAGCAGCAAAGGGAGCCAGAACTGCATTCTTGTTTCATAATAAGAGCATCAGAAGGAATTATGCTGAGACTTATTACAGCGGTGCCCATATATTGTCTTTCAAAAACTACTCTGAGAAAAGCGTTGGAGGAGCGTGCGCTCTAGCAGGTTTGGCTCTTGAGCTAATGCAAGATCCATTTAGGAAAAACAGCAGTTAACTGAAGATGTTATGCATGGCTTGAACGCTAGAAGGAGATAGAAGCACACTGTAAACGTGAATTCTGCTTTGCTGAAAACCCCAGGTTTTTGGAAGCTGGATTTGCACCCTTACCTGCCAGGGCTATGGCTTTCATTTCCGAGGGCTCACTGGGATTGCGCTGCAGTTTGCGTTTGGACACAGATGACGATGATTTTCCCAGGTTGAAGAAGGAACGCCAACTGCCAACTGGCGATTTCTTCATCTTGCTGGGCGGTCGTTTTCTGGAGTGAGAAAACAGAGCAAATCGTTGGAGGGGGAAGCTGCATTTAGTTCCTGCTACTGGTTGGTTATTAGCACTATCTGGTTTCTGCTGAAACAAAGCTTAGAAACTCGGTCTCTCTTAAAGAGCTGAGGATGTTTGCATTCTTACAGCTCAGCCCTAAAGTCTTGCTGGGTAAATTCCACCCAACTATGCAAAGCGGGTGCAATGCAGGTGAGCAAAGGCTCCATACTGGTACAGTACAGCAGCTAAGGGATGGCTTTTATTTAGCTGGCAGATGCACCAGCTCTCTGAGGAACTGTGCAGCCATAAAAGGTATTCAAAAGCATCTCTCGCTCGTGCTGTAAAATCACATTCGTCTCCTCCCGCTGCCGTACTTAATTTCTAGCATCATCAAGTCTATCCAACTGCTCCGCTTTGAGGGGAACCTGGATTTGTTACAGGCAATTAGTCCCGAAATCTGGAAAACCCCAATGTTTCCAGGCGTTTACCCTGTTTACATTTCTGTATGCATGACTAGTACAGGCATCTATATGCATCACATACAACATGGCTTCATACATTTAATGATAACCCTGCTAAAAAGGAGGGGAGGGAGTGGCACAGAAGTTACAGGGCTAAACTAAGTCCACCAGACGATTGATGTAAGCTGAATCCTCACAGAGTCCAAAGCAGGTGGAGAACTGGCCACAATACTTTATATATGACTAGCGTAAGTCAATATCGGCAAGTTTTTGCTGTAATCAAAAAAAAAACCCCAGTTATGACACATGCTGGAAAGGAAACTCATCTCTACCTTTCGGATGGAAAGTCTATGACCGTGTGGAATTTCCCCTGTAAAGCTGCAGGGCCTTCTCCCACTTCTATGTATTTGCTGTCTGCCACGATGGGAGAGTTGATCTGGGCTTGTGTCCGTGCCTGTGCCTCCTCCAGCGTGAGCAGCTTTGTGGAAGGAGAGGACACCAACAGAGACTTGGGCCGTGATAAAGAACTGTGCCCTGTAAGGGAGAACCACAGGCAACCCGGAGAATCAGAAAACAGCAGTACGGAGATCAAAGCTCTGGGTCTGTGTGTCTAGGGAGGTGCTGTGTTTTTTCTAAAGCTTTGTTATCCCAGCCACTGAAAGATGTGGTCAAAATAACCATTTTGTCAGAGGTATGTTTATGACAAAAAAGAAAAAAAATCTCAATTATGAGGGCAGCTTAGTGTGTTTTGAAAAGGGGGGGGGGAAGGCAGAGGGAAGCAGGTAGGTTAGAAACCTTCACTGACATACTTTACTTAAGCTTCATCTGCATGCAAAAGTCTGAGTAGAAAGTGATGGTTTTTCTTCTCGGAACACTTGGCTTCAGTCATTCCCAGCCACGTTCCACCTCGTGGTGCAACAGGAAATGCCATGTGTGACTTAAATTGCTACAAACTAATGTGCAGATGGACATAGTAAACAGAATCTAGCTGTGTGTCTTGCCCTTGGCCTTTTTTACAGCTTGTGCTTGTTTTTGGAGATGAATGTTTAAGTTTTTGTAAAAGTAGTTGATGTTGCCTCCTGCTGCTAGGATCTGTTAAGTCAGCTTGCAGTGTAGAAGAGACTGCTACAGAGGAGCACAAGGAGCCTCTTGTACGAGCAGCTGTCTTTTGTTTGACGTTGCTTATTGTGCAAGTGTTTATATGGTTATTCTCACAGGAGTTAAGGGGTTGGGGGGGAAGCATGTCATCCCTTCACATCAACATCCTTTTAGCATCACAGCTCTTGTGTGTGCACAAGTGTGCAGTCTCATGTGTGTTTGTCAGCTATATATGCTACCTTGGATGCAGTTTGGGTTCCAGCGGTCTTTGCAATAGCCTTACCCGGAATGGCTTAAAGCAGACTTAGGAATACCACTTTCACCTCTTACGGGCGGGTACGGGCCAGAAGCCGCGCTCAAAAACAGAGGCGCGCTGAAGAGCCTTGCTGTAGCACAGTATTCCTGCGCTTAGCTGATACACTGTGAAATAGCCTGACCCTTCTCCCCGCCAGTTTTGTGTCAAAGCACACTGAATGCAAACGACCAAGTCATTAAACAATTAGCTGAATTTACATGGTCCATTCTAAGCCTGGATAATCATTTGGCTTGGATTCTTAGTGTGCTTATCTTCCCCTGGCAGAGCTCAGCCTGCTGTGGGCTATTACTGTTCAGCCAAGCTAACCTCTGGCTCCTATTGACTTAAAATTGCCTTCCAGTAGGAACAAAAGCTGGACTCGGAGCAACTCTGCTATCCTAAGTAGAGGTAGGGCTTGTTTAAAAGCGGGGAGCAGCAAATATACTGGAAAAACAGCAGCTCTCTGTACTCCACAGGTGGTGGTAACTGCACTGACTGTGCACGCTTCATCGGAAGGGCAGGTTACCAAAGCAGATGGTACGCGCTTAATGCTGCTTAGGAGTAATAATAGCTTGTGGTATCCACGTTTGTTGATCTAACATACAGAGTAAACTTTCTTCCTGGTGCAACTCCGCTCGTTTTCAATGGAACAGGTCTACTTATGGCCTTAGTAGTTACTCAAGGGAATGTGTGGGTTCCAAGGCTGAATGATGTTTCAAGTGCTCCAGGGTTGGGCACAAATGCGTTGCAGTTCATTCCTCATCCTAAAGCCACAAATCGGCAACACAAGCAGAGAACTGGGCAATAGCTGTAAGGCCAGCGCAGACTGAGCCATGGGGCTGGATGGCCCTGCTAATTAACCCATGCAGACTATGCAGAAGAAATAACCAGGACAGCAGATGTCAAAATATTCCCTGTTGAGAGCAAGACTAAGTTTCTTAGTGTCAACGTTACTGAGTAGAGAGGGCTTTCTTTGAATCGGTTCATTTCTACTTGTGTTCTAAGGTGCTGATAAGGGTAGGCAGATCATGCATTGTGTTGTGCTGCGAGACAGCTCAAATGGATAAGCATGCAGGAGCGTTGATGATGATGGTTTTAAAAAGAAGGGGAGGGAGCAGGGGGGACAAAGACTTAAGAGATTCCTTACAACTTCCCAGTGCTAGGACATAAAAGTAGCAGCCAAACGTTAAGAAGTGCACTTCTGTAGAGCATCCTTGCCTTCTAAGAAAGGTACTGACAGCAATTTCTAAAACCAGGCTATATTTGCCAGGTTCTAACATCACAACCCTGGAAATGTGTCCTCTAGGTTATAGTAAAAACATATTTCCACTGTCCCAGGGGAGGCTCGGATACCCGTTAACTGTCTGCTACCTTTTTTGATCAAGGTAAAGCTAGTGGAGGAAGACACGCACCGGCTCCATCTCGTATGACTGAGCTGAGTTTGGAACTGAAGAGGACGTCCACGTGGTTCAAGATGAATTCCACGACTACTGACTGGATTCGCACCTCCATGAAGGCAGCTGTTCCACTGAAGCAGGCGGACTCGATCTGCTTTGATCTGAAGAAAAGGCGGATTAAATGAAATGCAAACAGCCAGAAGAACATGGGAAGATGCGCTCCTTTTGGGTAAAGCTTCGGCATGTCTTGAGCTATTGTGCCTGGTTGCTCAGGCAGACGAGACTTTAGGGGCAGTTCGGTGATTAAATCTCATCAAAGCATTACACAAGTGATCATACTGGCTAGTGATGTATATCCAGATGTTGGGTTCGAGTCTTACTGAAATGGCAAGAGGAACGCTGGGTCTAAAGGGAAAAGGAGTGTGTGGCAGGTCCAGATCTAGGTAAACGAACTGCACGCGCAAAGCGGGGAGCTTTTTGTTAACGTATTTCCAGATACTGCGAATGGCGGCAGTTTAATGCAGTGGCATCGTACAAAGCTCACTGTGGCCTTCTAATGTGATTTTTCCCTCTAGCAAGGGGAATGTCTCCAACTGATCCTGCTCGGCAAGTACCCCAATATTCACAAAAGCAAACTCAAACAAGAGATCATTTGACTGCTTGTGGGTGAATTGCCAGAAAGGAGAAAAGAGCTTTACTCTCATTAACTGCACCCAGGGGAATCTATGACTCGGATTTCTCAGGTCGGTAACAAAAGCGGTCCAGAAATCAATACAATAGAGGCCAGGGTGACTTTTTTTTTCTCCTTTTAAAGCAAAATTTTTAAATTACACCATTAATTTTAAACCACCCTATTACACACCTTCAAAACAAATTTTAGGGGACAGATTTATCCAAGATAATTTCTGTAAGTTTGAATTTTTGCAGCTAAAAGCTGTCAAATTAGACTCTAGAGACTTACACAATGGGAACAAATTTTCCTGGATGATCAAGGACACGCTGGTCTCATCTAACCAGGAGAGGGGAAATTATCATCTAGAAAGGAGGGGTGGGGCAATCCTTCCTTGCTGCTACTTGACCTGTAGTCTGTGGAATCGCATTGTGATGAGACAGAGTAACACTGGGGTGTTCTCTCCGGGGGGGGCTATTTTACATCCCTAGTTCAGGAGCTCGCCAGCTGGTCTCGAGCCCCTGCTTAGAATAACTTCCTGTTAGGAATTTTACAGGAGGAGAAGAGCACATTGGATAGAAGAAAGGAAGATCTCTTCCTCAACTGCTGAAAGTTATGATTTTCTTGAGAACAGGTATCTGTCTCTTTTATAAATATAAAAACTTGTCTTGTATAGAAATGGGAAAAATAAAGATAGTACCTTAGGAGGTTTGGAGCCCAGACGATTGCCAAGTTCTTAGTGTGCATATTTGTGATGGAGCAGTAATCAGCTAGACGAGCTAAGTGTCTCATTAGGAACTCCAGTGTCCTGGAAAACAGGAGGTAGGCAAATGTTCAGCACCAATGAGCAAAGCCATGCTGCAATTTACAAAACAAAAACCCCAGTTCATTATTTTCTTTTGGTTTGACAGCTTGCAGAAAAAAACACGTTGAACTGTGTACCCTAAGACTGATGGTAAAGCTGTCTTTAGCAAATAATTACGCTGGGGTGGGGCAAGGGGGGAGTCTCTCCTGATTTGTCCAGGCTCTGTGAAAAGACGGTCAAAGCATCTGCTCTCAGTCCAAGGGCTGGATCCAGCAAACACTGCGGTGGATGGCAATAATCTAAATGCCACCAGCACAGCAGGACCTAGAAGCGGAGCGCCCTGGAAAGCCATCGCTTGGCTGCTTTACTGTAACACAGTGCAACAGAAGTACACCCTTTGCACTGTATGTGATAGCACTGCAGTGCTCGTTAGATGGGGGTGGGAAAGGATGTTGAATGTTAATCTTGGTAAGGGGGGGCAGCATTTACTTAGACACCCCAGGATATTGAAAACCAGCAAATTGTATCTGAGTTCTACTTAAGAAATTATTGGCTACAGGCTCCCTATAGGTATATAAGGCAGATACAAGGTTAAACTTCAGAGGCTTCTGTTTATTTAAAAAAAATTAAATACATTTTTTTTTACTATTAAACACTACTGCTACCCCGAGCACGAGGTGGTAATGAAAATGCTGATGTAGCCTCCTCAGTGCTGTTGCTTGGCAGCAGCCCTGGCTCAGGTCTGTCTTGCTGAAAATCCTATTTTTTGGGGGGGAGCAGATGGGGGGCTTTGGGGCTCAAAATTACACAACCGGCCAAGGCCTGAAGTGAAGACGGATGGTTGTGGGTGGAAGCAAAACGACGGACATCTGCACTGCCCTGCCAAAGGCTGGTTACCTGCGGGGATCTTCCCATGGCAGAGTAGCAGAAAACAAAAGTGTTTTTTTCCTTTTCCAAGCAAACCTCAGGAAAGGAGGAGAGCAGCGGCTCCATCCATCTACATCACTTTACAGCTGGGTGTCTCCCACGCCCCCTCTCCGGTCTAAGACTAAGCCACACGCAGGCATCGCTATCTCCAAGTTGGACAAGTTTGTTACCCCCATAAAATAAGAGTCATTTTAGGGAAGAGGTGGAATGCACCCGAGAACATTAGACAAAGGAGCTGAGTTTATTTCTGAGAAGGCCCTGCCTGCTTAATTTAACATAAATAAAATATTACACTTAGTTAATACAAAGTACCAGCTATTACACTAATTAGTTATTGAAAGAGCAAGTAGCACACATCAATAGCTTGTAACACATTAGTTAACCATTCTAATTAGTTAAGACTAATTATGATATATAATAAGTTATTGATATTCAAATACTATATAATGAGTTATACCACTCAGGCACAGCATTGCAATTGTCCAGCTAATCCCCATACATTATAATAATTAATATTAAAATGTTATTAACAAATTATTATGAATAGTTATCAAAGAGTTCTCAATATCTAAATAACTATCCTCATGCATTACAGCTGGCCACTCAGGGTGCAGAATCATAACTGGTTCTGCAAATTAACATACATTAGAATAATAAACGGCATTATGATCCGATATTAATAGCCAAATAGCCATCTGCATACACTATAAATGGTCATCTAAACCACTCAGGACACCGCATCACACCTGGTCCGGCTACTCATAATAGTTATTGATATTTAAATAATTCTTTCAACAGACATTGTAATCAGCTATTTATACCAATTACAATACAATACATAATTAGTTATTAATACTATTTAAAGAATCATTAACATACAGTATTATACTGTTATTAATACCAATCACCACGCTTTTTAGTCTGATGCCTATTTACCATACCCTGCCATAATTTTTAATGCCTATGACCATTAACGTGTTGTTATACTTAGTCAAGACTCATCACTTTTAGTTATTAGTATTAATTAGATTTGAATATATTATTATAATTAGCTGGTGATTTTTAAACACCGTATTATAATTAGTTATTCTACTAGAGCATAGTTATAATTTGCTAGTTACTATTATTGCTGGGGGGGGGGAATCTGATTTTCCCCCAATAAAACTATTTCCTTAGTGATACCAGCCTTTTCTGATACAAGAAGCTTGTATTTGCCTCCTCTATGTAGTTTCCAAGGAAGTCAAATAAGACTATGCAAAGTATATAGTGTTTGTCTGGTCATGAGCTAATTAAAATATAAATCAACTTTATATAGCCATAAACCATTTTAATAGACAGAGGCACAGTGCGGCTTATCCAGGGAAAACTGGAATCGTATCATTTCACTCCTGAAACGCTAGCAATAATAAAATGCCGAGCTATAACCAGAGTAAAGGCTGCACTAACCTGTAGTGAGGAGGGGGCAGCTGTTGGATGACATCGTGGATTTTAACCAACCGTTCTTCATCTGTAGCCGCAGAAACAGCGTCCTGGAACAAGGCAGGAAGGGATTTAGCTGCAAGTAAGACCAGATACCTGCCACAGCACCTTGAACCACGTGGCCAATGTACTGTTCTTCAGTAGCGAGGCGGATTTTGTTGTTGTTCTTCTCTACCTTCGGAGAGGCGTCTGTCTCTCGGGGACAGACCGGCACACAGATAATGTGAGAAAGGCCAAGTAAATCGAGATCTGGGCCACTTTATAGCTTAATTGTACAGAGCAATTCCTTGCAGAGGGCGTTCAGCTCCAAGTAGCATTTGCTTCTAATCCCACTCCGGTTTGAGAAATCATTGGGGAATGGCAAACGATGGGGGAATTCTTGCAAAGCATTGGTAGCGTCCCAATAACCTTCTGCCAGGGCCCCAAAAGTGGAATCATTAGGGTGTGGCATGGGGGCCAAAGGCATGTGTGAGTAAACCTAAGGGGGAAACAGAAAAGGGACCTCAAACCCGGGGCACTGCTGCGCTTTTGAAATGGCGGGATGCTACCAGCAGCGGGAATTTGGTGTGCGGGTGGCACAAAGCGGATTGGTGTTAGGCTGGTAATTTTGGAGATATGTGCTTCTGATCTCTCTAAAAACCCCAACTTAAGCAGAAGTCAGACAAAGAAAGGCGTGTGGGAGACAGGTTCAGCTTGCTGCCGGATCCTTTTCAGTATTTCTCTCTTTGACCCATTGTGGATGAAGTCACGCTGAAGTGGAAAGTGAAAGGCATTGCCTCATACTTACTGAGAACTTCTCGTAGAGTTGATAGGTCAGCAGAGGGTTCGGGAGTTCACGGAAGTACAGCTTGCAGAGGGAGCCCACGCAGTGAATGTCTTGGATGTAAATATCCTTTGTCAAGTCAGGAATCTGCTCGGAGTCAAACTCGTGGCTGGAAATGAGAACAGAAAAATGGGCAAAGGGGTTTGAAAAAGAGGAATGAAAATAAAACCCAGCGCAAATTACAGTCAAGAAAAGCAAGGGTTTCCTGATTTACAGGAAAAAATAAATACTTTTAGTCACCAAAGCCACACGACCCATGGTTGTGGTGCTGCTAGACTGGATTTTTCCAAAATGAGACTTTTTTTTTTCCTCTTCTTCTCATAAGGCATTTTCAGTTAGTTTTACAACTGATTGGCTAGTCTGCAATCCCTTTTCCTGCAACAGGGCCTTTCACGAAGTCTCCAGAGAATGTCTTCCAAGACCATGGAGACAATCTGAATATTTAACTCCCAAGGGCTGTGACTGGGAGCTGCCCGGAGGAGGAGTGCCCACAGGTCTGAATGAAAGCTGCTGTCCCTTTGCATTTCAAAGGCCTGGAAATTGAAATGATAAAGCAATGCCAAACAGCAGCGCCATCGGCAGCTGCTGCACATGGAAACTAGTGTGTGCAGAAATTCCTCGGGGACAAGCTGGTGAGCTGAGCACGCCCTCTGCTACAGGGTGAAGAGAGCCAGGAACCACATGAAGAAAACGCTTGAGCATTCCCTTGGTTTTCAGAGAGAGCAAAACCAAAATCACAAATGTTTATGAAATAAAAGCTGAGCTTAGAAGGCCGAGGGCTGGCTCGCTGCTCATGTATGTGCATGGAAAGTGCTGTTTCAAATTAGCAGGACAGATTTGCAGGGACTAGCGTGGTGAGTCAGGCCACAGGGAGCTCCGAGAACACGGCTGCTCCAGCTGAAGCTCGGTTTCCCTACAACGGTCTTTAAGCTGTAAACCAAAACTGCTTATCATCGACGCGGGGAGTCATCCTGTCTACACTACAACCACAACAATGTTGGGGGCTTGGTGGCAACATCCCTGGCTTCTCCCCCTGTCCAAGCCAGGCAATTTGTAACACAGGAGATAGATAGATAAAACATGCCTTCAGCACAGCTCAAACACTGAGCTCGCCTCTCTCTGCCTACAGGACAGACCCAGTTTGCACCCGCGTCCAAGGCACCAGGCGTATTTGTAACTGCAGCGGTCAACCGTCCATCCCTTACAAGATCAGGAAGGAGCTCCTTCCTTCTCCCAGACACGAAGGCTGCCTGAGGGAAGCCACTTACTTATACTACGCCAGACTGGGGGGCAGAAGAGGTCTCTACTTCTTCAAACAAGAGGGTGAACAGTCCACCCCAGTTCCTCATCCCAAAGACAGCACAGAAGGAGGAAATAAAGGTCTCTGCCCCAATCCTCAGTGTTCAGTATATACCGCTCCCACAGGCACGTTCTGACTCATCACTCACTCACTCATATCTGGGAGAGAAACTCGTTTCCTGCACTTGGCTCCACAGAAGATGAGGGAGCTCAGAAGGGAGATCAGGGAAAGACACCAACCCACCCCACAGAAATATACTCAGCCTTGGCTGAAATTCTCTGGCCGTATCCTGCTGAACTCCTGGTACTCCAGTATATTTTCCCTAGGAATAAATCTCATGCCGTGTCAGAGACCTATCCCCGCAGAAGCAGAATATGGAGTGAAGAAAGGGAAGCCCTACGTTCAGCCTTTTTTCTCTCTGCACTGGCTGTTTTGAGAACTACATGTTATTTCTTTTGACCCCAAAGGAAGATTTTTATATTTTTTTTAGTAGAAGAATACAACCTCACAGTCTCTCAAAAAACCACCAGAGCCAGGATACAGGGGGACACATACCACCTCAACACTCGCTCTGTTTTGCCTACCAGCCAAATAAAAGGCAGCTACTGCGCTACTGCAGAGCCAACCTCTGTCCTGGAGTAAATCTCCCATGTGGAATAAATTCTCTAACTTTCTCTCCAACCAAAAAGCCCTTTAAATCCAGGAGATCCAATTCTTCGATGTGAAACTTAAGAACAGTGACTCATTTATAAGGATACTGCAGCCCTAGCTTTGAAATAAGCCTAATGATCTGTTTATATAGCTGGAAACCACAGCAATGCAATGTGTCCTACATTAATCAAACACTTAGGAAAATCTGTAGTGATGTAGATGAACAACAGGGACAGTGTTTACAAGTTATGCCTTGTACTCCCTTCCTTTTGTCTTTGGAACATCTCAGAAAATTGAAAAATAGGCTGTCACTTCAGTCTCTGTACTGTACCGGGGAATTACGCCATTGAAGTTTTAGAAAACCATTTTTAAAGCACCTTTGTAAAACAGGGAAGGGGAAAATGGTCTTGGCAACACAAAGGGAAAAAATGGACCAGGGCAGCGATTAGAAAGATGGTCCAGCACAAGTCAAAGTGGGCAATTAAAGGGATGTAACTGAAGCGAGGGCAAACATTTTATTCAGCCAAGACTGCTGTGGGCAGCAGCTACAATCGGAGTCTTTGGAGCCTGCGTATCAAAGCCTCGGGAGCAGGTTTTTAAAATGGCACTTGCTGTGATGAGAAACAGGATTAAGCTGAACCAGAATAAGCCCATCCATACAAAGGTTTGTACAGTAACTGTACCGGCTCAAACCTGTCCATTGAACTTGGGAGTAGCTGGTACAAAAAGGATATCCTTCATATGGAAAATACCCCTTTGTTGCCTCTGTGAGGCCGTGGGCCTAGGATCAACACTGGAATTAGTCACATCCCACTAGGTTCCCTCAGCCCCTTCACAACAGAAAAATGCATACCAAATGATGGGGGGAAAAACAGCCTCACAGAAGGATAAAGACCATTTACCGCAATGAGAACAGCTCCTAACACACCTAGCCTTTCCCTGCACAGCCGCGCAGCGTGGCAATGCCACCCACCAAGAATTACGCAAGTATTCTTTGCATGTTACCAATTGCTAATATGTCAGGAGTCCAAAGCAGCATGGAGAAATATCAGCTGCTCAAAAGGGCTCCGGGAGCAAGAGGAAACGGGAATGAAATGTGACAGCACAGTGACACCAGAGCCTTCTGATAACTCTATCCTGAAGGAAAACTTCCTGCAAAATGAGTTCTACTGAACAACCCCGTGTTGCTCCAAAACGGTGGCAAACCTAGCGCACCATCCATTGAGCACCGACTGCACACCCGCATCGGAGCTGCTGGAACAGTCTGCCCCGCAACTGCCACAGTGCAGGCTTCTGACAGCACAGCCTTTGAACCTAGCGCGTGCCTCATTCGTCCCGTGCAGACAGGTCTGTCAAACACAGCGCCCTTACCGTAGTTTCTGGATGTTGGACGCAATCCCAGACAGACGATATATTCCATCCACAATGCCATGTTTCTCAATGAATTCAGTGCAGCTCTTGAGGACCTGGGGGACTAAAGAACAAGTGTTGTTGGTTAGTTGAGTGTGTTTAATAAAGTCCTAGTTCAGGCTGTGGTCTCGTCAGCTGCTACAAACTAAGCCCAGCTGGGCTACTGCTTTAGTTCTTCCTTAGAGGAGAAAGCCTGTGAGAAATTTAACTTGAGGAGTTGGTGTGGAAACTGGTCAGAGGTGTTCCTTGCTTTAAAGAAATGCCAGGATACAAATTGGGTTGAAAAAAGTCAATTCTGGTCAAGTAGAGACAGGGCAGGTCCCATCACAACTCCCACAAGAACTGTGGTGTTAAATTCCATTCCAGAAGAGCTATAAAATTGAGTAAATACAATCTCTTTGGCTAAAGACTTCCTTCGTTTTCAAATCTATACAGGATTAACCTATACTGCTTGGTTTAAGCAAATATAAACATTAAGGAGATGCTACTTTCTGCACCAGGGCCAGGAGAGTTGTTACAACTGATAATTTCATCCCCAGTGTCTACCGGAGCGTGACTGGATTTAGATAGCTACACAACATACCGCACGCTCACAGAAATTGCGGACAGACCGGGGTATGACAAAATGGAAAAAATAAGCCCAGAGGATATAATTAGGTGTCAAGTGAACATTCAAGCCGCTTCACCAGCCGATTCCTTCCAGTTGACTTCTCAGCCTCATGCAGCATCCGCTGCTGGAGCTATCTGTCCATCCTCGTAAGCTTAAGGAGGAGCAAACTACTTTTTATTTATAAAAGGGAGATAAAACTGCCCTGAACACAGAAAGAAAGTTAGGATTGAGCTCTTGTGAGCATCAGCAAATCTTCATGGAAAAAACTCTGATCCTTGTGGATTCCTCTGCAAGCCACCTTTTTGCTACAGCTCCTGCGATGATCTAGATTTATTCTTACATTGGATGCCAGGTCTGATCAATTTGCCATGTGACACAGATTCTGAACAGGTCATGTGGCAAATCCCCTTATATCAAGCAGCAAGTGCCATCTGCCAGTCAGTTCTCCTAAGCGCTACTGAACTTAGATGCTCTGTGCTTTCCCCTCCCCAGCCGCTTCACTGCTTTTTTTCCGGCTTGCGACAAACACACAGCTAGAGAAAAGACTCATTTTCAGTGGTTCCCTGGAAGTCAGCAGGTGCATCCTGGGCTAAGGGCACATCTGCTCTGCACTCGAGCACTGGACAGAACAAAACCTGTAAATCCGCGTGGCATGTCAATCTCGCAGGCTCAGCTACAGTAGATTAGGCCCTGGACCTGCGATACTCAAAGATACCAAGAGACAGTCAAAACTGAGTCAGTCAGACTGTAGTATTACGCTACTAGGCATTTACAGCATCTCACCCCGGTTTCCAAAGCAAGGTGCAGACTTTGGGGCAAGCAGAGCCCTTGTACGTTAAGCAACGGCATAGAAAGAGCCTTGGAAACCAAGTGCTGCTTTTGGGGGGGGAAGGAAAACCAGCAGAGGTGATCAGCTCCTGCTCTCCCCTGTGGCTGCAATGGAAATGTCAACTTCCACTAGTGCAGCCAGAAGACATTTGCAGAAGGAAACCTCAGCATCCGCTCTGAAGCTAAAGGTACCTCTCGCAGCCTTGCGAGCTCAGAGTAGCACCACAATTGTTGGCATTAGGAATCAACCAGACACACATTTGGACATCTAAGCCAGGATAAGCAACAGCTTCTCACCGCTGAGTGAACACACATTTGGGGAGCATGTTGGTAAAATGCGCATCGGCCATCCACAACACCGTAAGCGACGTGTCTGAGCACCGAGCAGGCGGAACAGATGGCCCTAATGTTTCAAAAAACGTTTTTGGAGGACAACACTTACCCTTTTACGCAGAAAGACTCAACACCTCTTGAAGAGGAAACTTTTTAAGGCTTTAAGTGGACAGGGAAGGAGTTATATCATACTCGGGCAGTTGCCTAAAGGGCTAAAATATGTTTTGCATTGCACTACAGCGTTAGGAGACAAGCGTCACCCAGGTATAAATCGGTGCAGCAAAGCAGAGATGAGAACAGCACCATCCATTGCAGCGAAGGCAAAGGACAAGGCTTTAGATGCCGACACAGTTAGCGGTGTCTTTTCTTCTGTGAGAAAAGAGAGCACCCTAGATTGCAAGACGCACTAGACTCACGCTCATTTTGGTTTCACTGAGAACCAAGCAAGACCATGCGAGATGCCCGCATGTGCGTCTCTCCCCACCAGCACCCATTACAAAAGGTGAGAGGTCACAAATCTCATCGGTGAACTGAGCGAGGAGGCTGGGCTCAGCACTGCATCAGCGGCACTTCCTTCTGCCAACTGCCCGACTACGAGAGTCGCAAAGGATTGGGTAAAGGAGTTTACCCAAGTTTTCAAGTGTCGTGGCAAGATCTGCTAATGCTTAGCTGCAAAATCCCAAAGACTTTAACGGTCCGTACTGGAATCTCAATAGGGGTCCCCTTGAAATTAGTAGCACCCGTTGAAATAAATAAATAAGCAAACAAATAAATAGCACATTCCCCGCCTGCCTAATTCCTACCAGGGAAGCTGACGCCGTCTGAGAAGGGTGATGCACACACTGCGTGGGGGAGCCTACACAGACAGCTCTCCTGTTTATCTACATACCGTGAACACCGCTAGGACACCCGCCCGCGCTGCCTAACTGAAGGCCCGTGCCACAGGGAGCCGGCTCTGCGTGTCTCCAAGGCCTTACCCTTCTGGGGTTTATCTAGCTGTGTAAACAAGCAGCATGGTAAGAATGGTATTTATGTACCAGTTCAGCTGAGCAGCAACCTGTTGCGACCACGTGAATCAGGTCATGGGAGAACAGAGGGGAAGGTGAGGGATGCAGCACCAACGACACGCTTCCTGAAGTACTTGCTTGTCACGGAAGACCTTGGGCACAGTTAGAATAATTAATACACACTGAAAAAATTCTAGCAGGCTTGTTCTACGCAGTTCCTAATCTGGTTACCAGGACGATCTGTTCTTTAAGCTAAATATATCATGCCAGCACCACAGATATTTTGGGGGAATTCTGCATGGTTGGAGAAGTGACTGAAATTCAAGTAGGGCTATAATTATACTTGAAGGCCCTTTGCTGGAATGGTGAGTTGATTTTTCAACAAAGATGACACCTGACAATTATATGCTTGTTTAACGTCCCTCTCCCCTTTGAATCCCAAGCCCTTTAGCGAAATACACATTTATATATATATGCATATACACACGTATGGAGGGAATAGCGTCTATTACCACCAGAATGGAATGGCAGGATGACAGCACAGGCTAAGACTTAATTTTGCGAATGTGAAGTGTGCCAAGACCACCACCTACAGTGGCTTCTGACATCACTTTGTGACTTTTTCAGGTACCTATCTCTGCCTATTGCATAAATCCCTCCCCTGCTGCAGAGGCGAACTTCTCAGTGTTCGCGTCCTGATTTTGGCTTCTAGATCCCAAACCAGCTACCAGATCTGAATCAGAAAGGCATCTCAGCCGCCTCACAGCGGGAAACTGATGGGAGATTTCTTCTCATAGGATGTAGTAGCATCTACACTAAAATTGTATTACTGTTAGTTAATTACTGTGGTTTCCTGCAGTTGTAACAACCAGCCTTGGTGACGCTGGTTGTATTAACAGCTGTTCTGTTAGCAGCCATAAAGGCCCACCTGGCTCAGCACCCGGTTTCTGACAACCGCCACGAGCAGGCCACTTTGGGAAAGACGCAAGGAGGGAACAAGCACAGGGTAACCCACAGTATATTCCTCCAGCCCCAACAATCCCCTGTGCCCAGAATTGGCGTCTGTGCTTATTAAACCCAGCACACAGCCCTTTCCAGTCCCATGTTCCCAGGCAAGTAACAACAGCGTACTAATACTCACTCTTGGTTTTATTCCTTCTCTGAGCAATACGATCTCCAACCGCTGACTCCAGATAATCTCTCTGCAGTGAAGTCACTGACTCAGCTGCAGCCTGTTAAAACCCACTGGCAAGTGCTACATTTGAACATCGCTCTTCGCGAGAATCTGAGCACCGTACACATCTCCCGTTCCAAAATCAATCGCCTTCCCTCATTCCCTCCCTCCCGTCGCTGTCTCAAATAACAGGTAGTTCCAGGAAACAAAGCGCAAAAGGCTGGAAATGTGGACGCATCAACAAAGGAGACCCTAGCATATTTCATCACCATAGCAGCTAAAGGAATTTTTTCAACTCGTTCCTGAGCATCTCTCAGCTGGTTCGAAAGGTTTATTGCATCTCCTAGGGCTCATTAACTGGTTAATTCTTTGCCATTAAGAGGAAGCCGAAGTTTTATCGTTTTCATTCTGAAGAACATTTTGATTCATCTTGAAATCAGGCACATTTCCTTCCCTATCATCTTGGTTTTATTTTTTCCTTTTTAATGTTTTGTAACGTTCCCTCCCTGGGCTTTGGGAGGCTTGCTTTGTTTTTATTTTTTTTAATTTTCTTAGTACGTTACTGGAATCAGAACTATTTGTTCAGCCTGGGGAACGAGGCCTCCCATCAAGCTCCCCTCTAGCCGCGTTGTTTTCACAGTATTACAGCAATAAGGTGCACTGCCGCACAAGCCCAGGCCTTTTGGCTGGTTAACGGACCATAGCACGCTGAAATGCAGCGGCTCAGCTGAATTCCACACACAGCAAACAAACGCGGAAAGCTAAACCTGCAGCCCAGCAGGAACAAGGAAAATTAAATAAACTGTCCTGAGCGCCACTCTGCACCGCCTAAACAAAGGTAATAACCATGGCCATCACGTACCTGTAGCGATACTTAGGAAGCATAGGAAAAGAACAGAACTGAGTGAAGGAGTATCACAGAAGGTTAAGAGCCGCAAGAGTATAAATTTAAACAAACCATCAGCCACAAGATAAAGTTTAGGAGAAGGCAGCTCACTCTTCTTTGTCCAGGCTGCCTTTAGAAACAGTGAGGAAGGATGGGCACATGCAGAGGGCAGGGCGCCCCGAGAGCACCCGCTACCATACAAAAGGTGCGAACTGCATCGTTGCCC